AAATTATGCAAAGGGGCAAAAATGGATCAAAGCCGTTATCGAGCGACCAATTGGAAGAATGTTATTCGTCGTTCGTACTGCAACTTGTTATGTTAAACGATATTTGAACCAACTAAAACCTGACGATTGTACACAATTCTGGTGGACAAATGAATTTAAAAATCTGTTGACTAATCCGCAACTACAACATTGTATTGTACTCTTCCTCTCTATTATAAATATCAATAAAGTCAGTTACCCAAGCTGAAATCAGTCCTTTTGTTATACGTGGCCACAACATTTATATATGTTTATTTATTTATAAAAATAATAAAAGCATAAAAATTTATATTTTGGTTTTAGTTTTATTATTTCCAATACTTGTGCACACAATGTAATTTGACTACAAAATACATACAACATTATCTAAATTTTGAGCTATAGATGCGGCTCTTGTGTATTTGTTTTTTTTTAAAGATTTTTTATGCATTTTGTATATCTTCGCAATAACCTGCGCCAACAGTATTGCTATTATTATAATAAGATACCAAGTAATGTCAACGTTACTTTTGTCCATTACTACTATCTTATTAACTACATTTGCCTGTGGCCTGTCAAATTTAGCTTTTGGACCACATATGAGAAATGACACAATGCAAATGATATAATTAATATAATATAATTTCGAAACTTTAATTTTGATTAATTGTAATTAAATATAATTATTTTTTAGTTAATTTTTAATTATTGAAAAAAAAGCTAATATGTTTAATTTTACACATATATGTTTAAATATTAAAATTTTATAATTTTGCTTGATTTTATCATAATACTTTTTCCTGAAAAGTAAGTTCAATTTTTGTTCTTGATCAAATTATTATAAAAATATATTCGTTTATATATTTTGTTCTATATTTTTATTCAGAATTTCACTTAAAAATTTCATTATTTCGTTTAATTTCTTTTAATTATTTAATATAAATGTGTATACACATTTTTGTCATAAATTTCGATTGTATAAGTAATTGGACTTTTGTTCTTTTAATATAAATAAATCATTAATTTAAATTTAATTTTAATTTTAAATAAATTAAGAAAAAAGAACATTTTCTCTCTTACATAATTTGCATTTCTAAATGTTAATTCCCAATAATTTTACATATTGAACAGGAATGTTCAGTCACAATCTATATATATGGGAAACACAATATATGATTGGAGAGGTTGATTGTAATTTCAACAACTAACTTTATTATAAAATTATTCGGTCTTTTATATAAATCAAGTGCAACCATAATTGCAAGATATACAATAAATGAAATAGCTTATTATTTAATTCGCACCAATTGCTTACCAATTGATGGTATTTGCGGTTTAATGTAACATATGTAACACTTCGTTCAATAGTGTGTGTGACTGACACATAGATGGCGGCACTAATACTAAATAAATATTTTTTTTCGAAAGTGGCAACCTTTTTAGGCTTACTGTTAAAATCATATGTTAATCCGACCATTTGTTTACAAGTTACAGTGTTTTAAGTGCCGCTACTTTTGAGTTTTCAAAAAAAAAATGAATTCAAAGCAATTCCGTGTGCTGATTTATCATTGTTTTTTAATGAAAAAAAATATTTTTATTTTCTGCACAATCTTCCATCTTTTTAGTCTGGTTTCTGTAAAGTTAATAAGACTATCATGCGCTGGAGTCATCAATGACGATCCCGCAATGAAATGTCCTGGTGTAAGTGCATTAAGTTCTTCAATGTTGTTTAATTCCTTGTATGTCAATTTTTGGTCACCTAAAATTCTAGCTAGATAATATTTAATGGATTTTACTCCTGATTCCCAGAGACCACCAAAGTGAGGAGAGCCAGGAGGGATGAAATGCCAACGTATACCTGTTTCGGCTAAATGATTCTCTATTTGAATCTTCTGTAAACTATTGTTTGCACCTGTAAACAATTGGTACCATTGTCGCTATAAATATGATGTACTGAGCCACGTCTGCTTATCATTCGTTTGAGTGCTGCTAAAAATCCTTGAGAGTCAGATTTGAAGTTAACTCAATGTGAATTGCCTTTGTTGCTATGCATACAAAAATAGCTATATACGCCTTATGCGTTTTAATTCCCCTGAATTGAGAGCATTTAATGTGCAATGGCCCTGCATAGTCTATGCCGCACTGTGTAAATGGCCTTGAGAAATTTACTCTTGGTGTTGGTAAATTTCCCATTAATTGAGATTGTCCTTTTGGCTTTATCCGGAAACACTTTACACATTTATTGATGCAAGCTTTCACAGCGATTGTTCCACAAATAATCCAAAACTTTTCCCGGACGTAGTTTAGCGTCAATTTCAATCCTCCATGAATCGTATTAATATGCGCCTGATTGATTATGAGTTTGTCATCTGTAAAACATTTTTGCGCCTGCTTCACCAACACAATTTCCGCTGCATCAATATCGTCTGCCGTCAGGTTGTCGATCTTTCTTTCGGATTTCTTTCTTTGATAATTATAAACGAATCTAAGACAGTAAACTGTTACTCGAAGAAGTTTGTTTTATGTGAAAAATCGATTAATAAATTCTTCATCGTTGGTAACGTTCACGACGGTACATAGTGCAGTTTTTCTGGTTTCTGGAATAAGATTCAAATCTATTACTTCATCTATTACTTCATGGCTAATTTCCTTCATTTATTAGCTAATTTGGACCATGCCACCATAAAGTATTTGAAATAAGATTGTCACCATATACTCCCCTTGATGGAATATCTGCTGGATTATCTTTTCTTGGAACAAATCTGAATTGCCACTTAAACGTATCCTGAATATGCGATACTCTGTTTACTACAAACGTAGTCCCTCTATTTGGGTATTGCTTTAGCCAATTTAATACAATTTTTGAGTTTGAGCATGCAATAATTTTACTATAGGTAATCTTGTTATTCTTCTGAATGTAATTAATTAACTTTGTTAATAGCAAAGCTGCACATAACTTCAATCGGGCTGATGACACTTGCTTAATAGGCGCAACTTTTGTTTTTGATGCTATTAGGGATATTGTAACCTTTTCTGCATTGATAACCTGTAACGGCCAAAATTTTGTCAACCAAAAATTTGATCGTTACAACGCCGTGGGTATGGCTGTTTTTTTTGAATATTTATTTTTTTTTAATTAAT